GGTTTTTGTATTTGTGAATAAAGAGAAGTGGTAATTTTTCATCACCAATAGAATTACAAGTAATCATAACTGTAACTCTATCCTTTGATTTTTTTTTTCCTAAAACTGGTCCATGGGCGAGTGTCTTGCTTGGCTCAAGTCGCCAAAAAAGTGCTGTTTCATCACAGTTAAATATATCTCTAGGCTCATAATTTCGAAGAACATCTTGAAGTTCTAGACGAAATTTTAAAACATCTTCCAAAGGCACACTACCAGCTTCTCCTCGACGTCGATAAGAAAAAATAACATTTCTTTTTTTAAAATTAGCCAGCCAACCATCGGATGCATTAAATCTGGTAATTTCAAATTTATTAGCGAATTCCTTAGCCTTGGCTTGAAGAAGATGACCAGTAAGAGTAAGTTCATTTTTAATTGCTTGCTCAACCCAAATAGACATCGCCTCTTCAAGTTCAGGATTATCAGGCTTTCTTTGATGTTTAGCTTGGATTAAAGTAAAAGCGTCATCGAGACCTAACCAGTACTCAGAGCGTTTGAGAATATCAGATACTGATTGTTCACTTATTCCATACTCTTTAGCCAAATTTACTCCTTTTAAATTAGAATTATTACATTTTTTTTCACATAATTCTTTTTTTTGTGCTTCAGTTAAAGATATTCTTTTCTTTATACTAGTATCAGAGTTTTCTTTGTGTTTTTTGATTTTATTTATAATGAATACAATTTATCAATATGCGATTTGGATTATGCTTCTTTATATTTATTTTTTACAGGTTATTTATACAGATTACTTAGCAAAAATATAATTATTATCCTTTTTTTACTGCTATACACTAATCTCTATAAGTGTTTTTATAAATTTCTTGATATGAAATTTTACTATTATCACTAATCGTCCAATCCTTATTTAGATACCAAAATAATGAGTTTCAGATTCAATGTTTCTTATTAAAATTTACTTTTTTTTTTTTTTTTTACATATACTCATGCATAATACTCAAGCTCCAATCACTCTTGCATTTTCTGTTTTTTTTTTTTTTTTTTTTTTTTATCGGGTTAAGTTCATTCTTTTATATACAATTCAACTATTTATTATTATTATATCATTCTGAAACCTTATATCATTCTGAAAACTTACATATTGCTAGTCAGTTAAGTTCATTATTTAAATTATAAATTATAGGGTATATAACAACTTATTCAATAGTAAGGTCACCAATGTCTTAATACGAAGGTAAGCATCTAATTGACCTTTTACTATTTTTTAAAAAATGAAAGAAGCGATTAAATTTTTATTTTCTTATTTTTTATACATATAA